GAACTGTAGGGGATCAGATCCAGTATTGGCCTTTTTCAGCCTCTGACTTGTATAATTGGAAAACTCATAACCCCTCTTTCTCTCAGGACCCTCAGGCTTTAACTGCTTTAATTGAGTCTATTCTTCTTACCCACCAACCCACTTGGGAAGATTGTCAACAACTCCTCCAGGCACTCCTAACCACGGAGGAGAGACAGCGAGTCATACTGGAAGCCCAGAAAAACGTCCCCGTGCAGGATGGGAGACCCACTATGCTCCCAAATGAAATAGATGAAGGATTTCCTCTGACCAGACCCAACTGGGACCCTGAAACCGTGGCAGGTAGGGAGTGTCTCCGTCTTTATCGCCAGACTCTGTTAGCGGGTCTCAAAGGGGCCAGAAGGTGCCTAACCAATTTGGCAAAGGTATGTGCTATAACCCAGGGAGAAAATGAAACCCCCGCAGGATTTTTAGAACGTCTGATAGAGGGATATCGGATGTATACCCCTTTTGATCCCACAGCCCAGGAGTGTCAGGCAGATCTTATTATGGCCTTTATAGGACAATCAGCTCCTGATATTCGTGGTAAACTCCAGTGGCTAGAAGGCCTTCAGGGGTACTCCTTACAGGATTTAGTAAGAGAAGCTGAGAAAGTTTATAATAAGTGAGAGACATTAGAAGAAAGGGAGGACAGAATTAGGAAAGAACAGGAAGCTAGGGAAGATAAGAGAGAGAAAAGGAGAAATAAGGAGTTAAGTCGAATTTTGGCCACAGTAGTACAGGGAGCAGGACCAGGTAGGGACCTGGGAGACAAAAGAAGACCCCGAGTGGACAAAGATCAATGTGCTTACTGCAAGGAGAGAGGACATTGGGCTCAAGAATGCCCAAAGAAGCTAAATAGAGTCCAAAAGAAGACAACCCGAGTCCTGACCCTAGGGGACTAGGGGAGTCGGGGCCAGGAGCTCCCCCCTGAGCCCAGGGTAACTCTAAAGATAGGGGGGCAATTGACTACCTTCATGGTAGACACAGAAGCTCAACACTCAGTCTTGACAACAACCAAGGGACACATGATTTCCAAAACAGCCTGGGTCCAAGGGGCTACTGGAGGAAAGACATATAGGTGGACCACAGAAAGAAAAGTGGACCTCAGTACAGGACAGGTCTCCCACTCGTTCTTACTGGTCCCAGACTGTCCATATCCCCTTCTTGGGAGAGATTTACTCTCTAAGCTGGGAGCCCACATCCACTTCACTAAAAAGGGAGCTACTGTAAAAGGAAAATATGGAGCTCCACCACAGGTATTAACCCTGCGGCTGGAAGATGAACATTGGTTATATGAGGGACCGATAGCAGAAACTCCTGGTATATCTGATTGGCTAAGTAAAATCCCCTCGGCATGGGCCGAGACAGGAGGCCCAGGACTGGCATGCAACCAGCCTCCAATAGTGGTTACACTAAAACCATCTGCAACTCCGGTTTCAATCAGACAATACCCTATGAGCAGAGAGGCCTGAGAAGGTATCAGACCTCATATTCAGAGACTTTTACAAGTAGGCATACTTCGCCCCTGCCAGTCTCCTTGGAACACCCCACTGCTCCCTGTAAAGAAGCCAGGAACAAATGACTACCGACCAGTCCAAGACTTAAGAGAAGTCAATCAGAGGATAGAGGATATACATCCCACTGTTCCAAATCCTTACAATCTCCTGAGTACCTTGCCTCCCAGTCACAGGTGGTATACTGTTCTTGACCTGAAGGATGCATTTTTCTGCTTAAGATTGAGCCTGGCTAGCCAGCCCATTTTTGCTTTTGAATGGAAGGACCCTGAAGCTGGAATATTGGGGCAACTAACCTGGACACGACTTCCCCAAGGGTTCAAGAATTCCCCTACTCTGTTTGATGAAGCTCTACACCGTGATCTGGCTGACTTTCAGGTAAGAAACCCACAGATTATGCTTCTTCAATATGTGGATGACCTCCTATTAGCAGCTGAGACAGAAGCTGGCTGTCTGCAAGGTACAGAGGCTCTCCTACTGAGACTGGGGGAACTTGGATGCCGGGCCTCAGCAAAGAAAGCCCAGATTTGCCTACAGCAGGTGAACTATTTGAGCTATAGGTTGGACGAGGGCAACATTGGCTGACAGAAAGCAGGAAACAGACAGTAGCCTCTATCCCCCCACCAACCTCAGCCAGAGGACTTAGAGAGTTCTTGGGAAGTGCAGGATTCTGTAGATTATGGAAACCGGGTTTCACTGAAATAGCGGCCCCTCTATATCCCTTGACAAAGAATGGGACTCCTTTCATCTGGACTGAAGAACACCAGAGAGCCTTTAACAAAATAAAAAGAGCACTGCTGACGGCTCCAGCTCTGGGATTGCCAGACTTGACAAAACCTTTATAGGGATGACAAAAGGGGTCCTTACTCAGACTTTGGGACCCTGGAAAAGGCCAGTAGCTTATCTCTCAAAGAAACTGGACAATGTGGCAACTGGCTGGCCCCCATGCTTGAGAATCATGGCGACAGTAGCATCCCTGGTTAAAGACTCAGACAAACTCACTATGGGTCAGCCCCTAACTGTTATCACACCTCATGCAGTGGAGTTCATCATCAGACAGCCTCCTGACAGATGGTTGTCAAATGCCAGGGTGACCCATTATCAGGCACTACTATTAAATACAGAAAAGATCAAGTTTGGTAGCCCTGCCACCCTAAACCCCGCCATGCTGCTACCAGCCACCAAGAAAGGCACTGAGATTCCCCATGACTGCCAGCAAATACTTGCGGAAACACATGGGACCAGGGAAGACCTCACTGACCAGCACCTAACAGATGCAGATGCCACTTGGTATACAGATGGGAGCAGCTTTCTACGAGACGGTGAATGTAAGGCAGGGGCAGCGGTGGTCGATGGGGAAAGGATAATCTGGGCTCAAGCCCTGCCTGCTGGAACATCAGCCAAGCGAGCTGAATTAGAAGCCCTAACTCAGGCCTCCTGCCTGCTGGAACATCAGCCAAGCGAGCTGAATTAGAAGCCCTAACTCAGGCCTTAAAATTAGCAGAGGGCAAAAAGGTCAACATTTACACCGACAGCCACTATGCGTTTGCCACTGCCCATATACATGGGGAAATTTACCGGAGGCGGGGACTCCTCACCTAGGCTGGTGAGGACATCAAAAACAAAGAAGCGATAGTGGCCCTTCTACAAGCCTTGTACTTGCCAAAACAGGTCAGCATAATTCATTGCCCTGGGCATCAACGAGACCAGGGGCCAATTGCTCGAGGCAATCGGATGGCAGATGAAACTGCCCGTCAGGCAGCAGAAGGTACCTGCATTCTCTACACACATGCAGACCTTAAGGCTGAGATGGAGACACAGGAAAAGGAGGCAGAAGCTCTTTTTACTTACACTGAACAAGACTTGAAACTTGTTCAGAAGCTTAATGCTACCTTGGATCCTGAAACCAAGATGTGGAGATATCAAAATCATACCATACTGCCCCGGGAAGCAGCACTTGAACTAATCTCCCAACTCCACCAGTGGACACATTTGGGACACAAGAAACTAAAAACACTACTAGAAAGAGAAGAACAATTCTATTACTTCCCGGACCTTAACCAGCTAGTTCAGAAGGTCGTAGGAGATTGTGTCTCATGTTCCCTGGTAAATGCTTCCAGATCAAAGGTCCCATCTGGCAAGAGAGAAAGAGGGACACAACCAGGGACTAATTGGGAAGTAGATTTCACTGAGGTTCTTCCAGGAAAGTATGGTTATAAATATCTCCTAGTGTTTATAGACACTTTCTCAGGGTGGGTTGAAGCTTTCCCCACCCAGAAGGAGACAGCCCAGACTGTGGTGAAGAAACTGATTGAAGACACCTTCCCTCGATTCGGACTGCCTAAGGTAATTGGGTCTGATAATGGCCCAGCCTTCATCTCCCAGGTAAGTCAGGGAATGGCCAAAGCAAATATGGGTATAAATACCTTTTAGTGTTTATAGACACTTTTTCAGGGTGGGTTGAAGCTTTCCCCACCAGAAAGGAAACAGCCCAGACTGTGATGAAAAAGCTGATTGAAGAAATCTTCCCTCGATTTAGACTGCCCAAGGTAATTGGATCTCATAATGTCCCAGCCTTCGTCTCCCAGGTAAGTCAGGGAGTGGCCAAAGCGTTGGGGATTAATTGGAAATTACATTGTGCTTACAGACCCCAAAGTTCAGGACAGGTAGAAAGAATGAATAGAACCATTAAAGAGACCTTAGCTAAATTAGCTCTAGAGACTGGCACTAAAGACTGGGTGCAGCTCCTACCTCTAGCCCTATTTCGAGCTAGAAATACTCCTGCTATACATGGCTTAACCCCCTATGAAATCCTTTTTGGAGGACCACCTCCTGTCCTCAATGTAACTTTATCCCCCTTGCCCTCTTCTTTTGACAATCCCAGCCTAAAAACAAGACTTCAAGCCCTTCAGATTATCTAGAACCAGGTTTGGAAGCCTCTGGCTGTTGTCTACCGGCCTGGGAGTCCACAAACGCCTCACTCCTACCAAATTGGAGATCAGGTGTACGTGAGAAGACACAATGTGAAGACTCTTGAACCACGGTGGAAAGGACCCTACACGGTTCTCCTGACAACGCCAATGGCCCTCAAAGTAGATGGGATTTTGGCTTGGATCCATGTTTCCCACGTCAAGAGAGCTCCGACCCAGGAGGACACTGGAAAATGGCATCTACACAGGACATCCAACCCTCTAAAAATAAGACTCTCCAGAGATACCTAATAATCCTATTTGTTTATAGGCTTGTCCCCAGCTATGGAAATCCCCATCTCCCTGTGCTGACTACCTGGCGGGTAATTAATCAAATGGGTGTTGTAATATTTGAAATCCACAAGATGGCACCCAAGGACACTTGGTGGCCCATCTTGTATCCAGATTTGTGTAAATTGGCTATAGGAGCACCAAAGCCCTGGGATGCAGGGGAGTGGCTTAACCCCATAAATGCTTCTGAAAACCCATCCCCTGGAGGGGGGATGCCTAACACTATGGGGAGCTCTCCTTATGGATGTGGATCAGGGCAAAGATGAGCTATGCTCCGTACCTTAACCTTCTATGTCTGCCCAGGTAACCATCGAGAAAAGTGGCTTAATTCTAAATGTGGGGAGAAGGACTACTTTTACTGTAAAAATTGGGGATGTGAAACAACAGGGGACACATGGTGGTCTCCATCCTCATCCTGGGATTACATCATTGTAAAAGCAAATTATTCTCACAAGAACCCGAATAGTGTAAATTGGCTATAGGAGCACCAAAGCCCTGGGATGCAGGGGAGTGGCTTAACCCCATAAATGCTTCTGAGAACCCACCCCCTGGGGGGGGATGCCTAACACTATGGGGAGCTCTCCTTATGGATGTGCATCAGGGCAAAGACGAGCTATGCTCCATACTTTAACCTTTTATGTCTGCCCAGGTAATCATCGAGATAAGTGGCTTAATTCTAAATGTGGGGAGAGGGACTACTTTTACTGTAAAAATTGGGGGTGTGAAACAACCGGGGACACCTGGTGGTCTCCATCCTCATCCTGGGACTGCATCATTGTAAAAGCAAATTATTCTCACAAGAACCCGAATACTCCTACTCAGGACTGTAAAGGTAAATGGTGCCATCCTCTTCGGATGGCATTCACAGCAGCAGGCAAAAAGGCCACAGGATGGGACAAGGGGTATTCTTGGGGAATTAGACTATATAAGGAACAGGCTGATGATGGCCTTCTTTTTACTATTAAAAGAGACAGCTCCTCCTATCCAATAGCTATAGGTCTTAACCCTGTTTTACCTATTCAGAAACCCATCCCCAGTTACCCAGATCCCCTACCAGCCTTGCCCTCTCTTAGCACCTCCCCCGCTAACATCCTGTCAGAATAGATCCCCAGTTACCTGAGGTTACAGGTTTCAACCACGGGAAATTGACTGTTCAACCTAGTTCAGGGAGCATATAAGGCCATCAGACAGACAAACCCCAACTTAACTGAACCTTCTTTAGCAGCAGCACCTCCCTATTATAAAGGTATAGCTACATTAGGAACATTCATTAATACCACCTCAACAGATCAATGCCATAGGGAAACTCCTCATTCCCTAACTCTCACAGAGGTCTCAGGATCTGGACTCTGTCTAGGAAACCCACCTTCAACTCACACCCACCTTTGCAACTCCACTATACCTGTACCCTCAGGGGAAGGAAATTACTATCTCCTACCTCAACAAGGGACTTGGTGGGCATGCAATTCTGGGTTAACTCCATGTGTAGTTAGCATGGTCCTTAAAACCTCTCAAGACTACTGTGTTATGATTAAACTTCTACCCTGAGTATTCTATCACCCCGCAGATTCCTTAGAACAGTTTTTTGAGCAACACCCAAGCAGATATAAAAGAGAGCTTGTGTCTCTCACCCTAGCAATGCTTCTAGGAGCAGGGGTGGTGGCAGGGGTGGGAACTGGAACAGCAGCCTTAATACAAGGACCACAATATTATGCAGACTTACAAAAGGATGTAGATGAAGACATTAAGGTAATAGAGCAGTCAATTAT